TTTCAAGCCTGTAAGTCCCCAGACGTTATAGGTCTCGATAGCCGGGCACCATCAGCCTTCTTCACCACACTTACTTATGCACATATTCGTCTTCAGCGTTTATGTGGGGAAGGTGGTCACACAATGGTTTTTGTTCTTTGATGTCTGCTGCCTGTTCCCTTCAACACCTCGTGTTCACACAGGCTCGTGTGCTTCTTCTCTGTGGGCTTTCTTAATGTACAATTACCCTTTATATAAAACGCTCTTATACACGTGTCTCTATGAATTTGTTTCTTTAGTCTACGCAGACTAACACATCACTGAAACCCACAAGGGCAGTTCTCTGTCCTATAAGATCTGAGTCAGCACTGACTCGGTGGCAAGGGTTTTTTGAGTGACAGCAGAGAAACCAGGTGGTCTAAGAGGCTACACACTGAGCTGCTAACCACCGGGCCAGTGGCTGGAACCCACCAACCACTCTTGGGGACAAAAAGACTGTTTACTCCTGTGAAGAGTGAAGTCTCACAACCCCCCACCTCCGCCCCACCCGGGGGCAGTTCTACCCAGTCAGATTCCTCTGCATGGCAATTTGTTATTGCTAGTTTCTGTTTTGTTTCTTTTTCTTTATATGACATTTCGGGTAGGCACCTCTGTAGACAGTAACTGGATTGTTTCTTGGGGTTATGGCAGGGGAGGTGGAGGTGGGGAGCTAGTAATGAGTACAAGAATGAACCAAGTGTCTTCAAATTGTAGTGATGATTGTACGACTCATTTTGGTATGTTTAAACTACTAAACTGCATGCAATGTGAGTTGTCAATAACACTGAAAGTTTTTATGAAATACAGTAAAGAGCTGAAACGGGTCTACCTGTTGTTCTAGCTCCTTTGTGTCCCCTCCCCTCATAGACCCTAAGGTGTCCTTCTCTCATGGCCTCCTCCTACCAAGTATTTGCAAAAAGGAGATGGCGCATCCCTCACTGGTCTTGGCTGGTTTCAGCAACCTTGACCCCACCTGCAGCTTCTTGAGGGCCTG